TGACAACCCACTCTTTAGGGGGCGGCGGGAGCTTGGGCTGCTGCGGCTTTGGGCGCGGCGTCTGGCTCTCGAGGTCGCCGGATGAGGCCGTCGACTGGAAGGCGTTGCTCTTGCTGTTCCAGCGGAGCCTGAACTTTGGCGTCTGGCCGTCCGAGCGCTCGGACCGCGCGTCGATCAGCCCTATGCCGCGCGCAGCTGCACTCGAGGAGCCCTGGCGGTACCGCAAGGCAATAGCCAGCGCGAGCAAGGCGGCAGAGGCGGCAGCGAGGGCGTAGGCATGCTCGGTCGCGAAGCGCATCACCACGACATCCAGCTGGTCGTCGGCGAGTGTCCCGTTGGCGGCCACAAGAGGCGGCTCTACGGAGCTACTCGCCACGTACGGCTCGAGCGCAGCGAAGTGGCGGGTCTCCTCGGCGTCGGCACACCCGCCAAGACGGTCGGACCAATATTCGAGCCACTCCAAGGGGTTGATGTACTCCAGCGGGTGGTAGAGCGGGTCCAAAAGGTTGGTGCAGACTCGCGACGATGCGGCGGAGGAAGAGGCTGCGGCGGAGGAGAAGGAGACTGACATTGTAGGTTTGGGTCGGATTGGCCGTGCGAGTTTGGCCGTCTGAGCCGCCCTCCTTGCCTCGTGGATCCGAATTTTTCTCAGTTTGTACCCGAGATGTGGTATCTCGAGTTCCGACTGTGGCTGCCGATGTGGGCGGCTGGTCTTGCAATTTTGCAAATCATGCTGTCGTCGCTGCTACTGCCGACGCTCGCTGCTGGTGGTGTTGACGTGAACGTCGCCGCTCTTTTCATGCTCTCGTACAAAGCGGTGTCGACCGCCGAGAGCTGCGCTGGCGTGGGCAACTGGCGGAATGGCACGTGCTGGGAGATTGAGCCGATGCAAGCTGTAGTCGTCAGCGCGCTACTCGGAGTGACGGACTTCAATTCGCGAAACGCAAGTGCTCTCCCCGCGCTTAGATCTTTGACGGCTTGCGACAAGCAGCTCCGATTTCGGCTGCTCGACAGCGGCGGCTCGGTCTCAAAGTCAATCCTCGCGCTGGGAGACCTTTCCGCTGCCACCGACCTCGTCATCGGACCCGGCCGCAGTTCCGTCTCAACCACCATAGCGCGCATGACCGGTGCGCACAAAACATCAACAACGCTGCTCGCAACATGCGTGTCGCGCACTCATTCATGAGATCATGCGCGGCGCGGTCTTTCGGAAATTCGAAACTTTCGTCAATTCGTGTAACGATTATAGAGGTGACATCGCGAATCCGGATCGTGAAACGAAGGAGCGTCCTTCGGGCTTCGCTAACCCCTAACGCTGAACGCGCGATCAGATGGCAGGTCTACATGCTCCGAAAGGGGTCAGCTGCTGGAGGGCGGCGGCGCGTCAAAGAGCGCGTTGCCCATCGCGCGCAGGCCGTAGACGGAGCGCAGCTCCGTGTCGAAGTACGGCACCTGCGTGACGTCGACCGCGCAGCGGGCCGCGAGGTCGTCGAGCTCGGCGAGGCACTGCCGCTGCCCGTTGGCGAGCCTCGCGACGTACCCGTCCGCCACGTCGGTCGCGATGAGCCGGTTGACGACGCCGCGCCGCACCGCGATCCCCTCCCGCCTCAGCTCGAGCAGCAGCCGCTCCGCCTCGTTGAGCGAGAGAGCCGTCGCGATGGTGACGATACAAAACTCGGTCGTCTCCGGGTCGTGCAGCAGCGCCTGCAGCGCCTGCATCTGGGCCTGGAACTCCTTGAGCTTCGTCACCGCCGTCGGCTCGTCGGGCGCGTCTGCGGGTGCGCCTCCGCCTCCACCGCCGCCGCCGCCGCCGAACACCTTGCCCAGCAACTGCTGCGCACCGCCCAGCATGTTGGCGGCGCCGTCGAAGCGCGAGCGGAGGACGAGGAGGCGGGTGATGAAGCGGTCGAGGAAGTCGGGGAAGGTGAGCAGCCGCAGCGTGTGGCCGGTCGGCGCCGTGTCGATGACGACGCGGTCGAAGTGGATGCCGTAGGCGTCTCGCTGCGCGAGGGCGACAATCTTTGAGAGGGCGATGAGCTCGTCGACACCGGGCGGCACCGCGTCGAAGATGTCCGCGAAGTCGGAGAGGCCGAGACCCTGTGCCGAGGCGGCGCCTCCCTCGGCCGACGAGACGCCGCCCACCAGCCGCTTGAACTCGGCGACGGCGTCGTCCACCTTGACCTCGCACGCGTACAGCGACGCGCCCGCCACGCCCTCCACGCGCACAACCTCGCCCGACGAGAGGTCCGTCTCGAGCGCATCGCCGAGAGAGTGCGCGGGGTCCGTCGAGACGAGCAGCGTCGAGTGGCCGTCCGTCGCGAACTGCACCGCCAGCGAAGCCGAGGTCGTGGTCTTGCCGACGCCGCCCTTGCCGCCGACGAGGACGAACCGGTCCTTTTGGTCGGCCAGCAAGTCCTCCCATGCGTCGGCGTTTGTGCCGCGGAAGGCCTGCGAGGCGACGTACTGCAGCGGGAAGACGCCCCGCATCTCGAGGTCGAAG